GAGGAGCAAGATAAAGCGTGCAGAGTGGACCTCACATGATGTTCCCCTGGCTATTTTTCAGATACGCTCACATGTGCATTTTAGAGACCTCTGCCAACGTACTGAATCCAATGAATGTTGCCCAAGCTGGTCTCTGGGGAACTACATTGCTGTCCTGTACAACAGGTCTTCTTGTCTGGAGATAACTCAAGGAGACATTTCCCACACCCTGGCTCTCCTTCGTGCCTGCGCTCCAGACTACCACAAAGGTATCCTCACTCCATCATGCATAGGTCCTGAGACCATGAGACAGAAACACCCTCAGTGTGCCAAAGTCCCAGAAAAATGTACCCGCTTCAATGCTATTTACCAGCTTCTTCACTTCTTGGTTGACAGAGACTTTCTTAGTCCCCAGACAATTGAGTACCAAGTGCCATCTCTCAAGTACAGCCTACTCTTTTTGCCTACAAGGAAAGGTGCATCTATGATGGGGATCTACTTAGACAATCTTGAATCCTGGGATCTATTTGATAACTATACATCTATCACTGGAATGGACTTGGGCCTTAAACAGAAACTCTTCCAGCACTATCTTTTACTGGATACTAAATATCCAGTTCTGGCAATATTAGCTATTTTTCTAATCATTTCTTTTTATTTACGCTCGGTCTTTATTACCTTGATGGTCCTGCTCACTGTCTTCAGCTCTTTGATGATCTCCTACTTCTTGTACAAGGTGGCCTTCAGATTCACCTACTTCCCTTTCGTAAACCTGATGGCTGTTATCATTCTCAGCAGCATTTGTGCCAACCACACCTTCATCTTCTTTGACCTCTGGAACCTGAGCAAGAGCCAGAACCCTTCTGCTGGGCTTTCACAGCGGGTGAGTCAAACCATGCATCATTTTGCATATCTCATGTTGGCATCCTGCTTCACAACGGGTGCTGCCTTCTATGCCAGCTACATTAGCAATATAATAGCCATCCGCTGCTTTGCTGTTTACATGGGCACCTCCGTCCTAGTGAATCTCATATTCATGATGACTTGGCTTCCATCTTCGGCTGTGCTGTATGAGCGCTACATTGCGACAACCTGCGTTCACAAGCCAGAAGACTACTGGAAAAACACCGGCCACAAGAGAGTGGCTCTCTCCCTCCACTATGTTCTCAGGGGTCTCCAGAAGACGTTGTGTGAAACCTCCAAGTTGTTATTTGAAAAGCTTTTGCCTTGTGGGGTCATCAAGTTTCGGTACATCTGGATCTGCTGGTTTGCCGCTTTAGCAATCGGAGGTGCCTACATTTCCTGTTCCAACCCAAAACTCAAACTCCCAAGTCTTGAGTCATCGTCTGTTCAGGTGTTCAGACTGAGCCACCCCTTTGAGAGGTACGACTCTGAGTACTGCCACCAGTTCATGTTTGAGAGGCTAGAGCATGGAGAAGGGCAGCGTATGCCAGTCACTATCATCTGGGGTATCCTGCCTGTGGATAATGGGGACCATTTCAATCCAAAAAGCAATGGCACCCTTGTGGCAGATGCCACCTTCACAATCCAAAGTCCTGATGCCCAGAAGTGGCTCTTTGAATTCTGTAAAAAGGTGAAGAACCAAACTTTCTATTACCTTGATACAGAGCAGAAATCTACTGTGTGTTTCATGGAGGAGTTTGTCAGGTGGATGGATAGTCGCCAGTGCTCCCAGAGAGACAATAGCTTCAACCTGTGCTGTAATCAGTTCTCTTTCCCTTATGGAAGTGAAGTCTTCCTACACTGCATCAAAATGATGCTCCTGGAACAAGGCAGGGAAGAGGCAGAAACATACGATCTGGGCCTCAGATTTGATGGAGAGGGAAATCTTGCTGCCTTAGTACTGCAATTTCAAACTGTTTATCACTACAGCTTCAATTACAGCAAAGCCAAACACTTCTATGAAGAAATCAACCTCTGGGTAACAGAAGAAATGAAAACTGCCCCTGTGGGACTTCAGAATGGGTGGTTTACCAGTAAACTAGAGCTGTACAACCTCCAGCACAGTCTCAGCACAGAAACAATAGTGGTCATGGGGCTCTCTATTGCCATTTCTTTTGTGGTGCTGCTGCTCACTACCTGGAATGTTCTCCTTAGCGTTTTCTCTGTGACTGCCATTGCAGGAACTGTCCTGGTAACTGTTGGCCTTTTGGTCCTCTTGGAGTGGCAGCTCAACGCGGTGGAGTCTCTCTTCATTTCAGCTGCAGTAGGTCTTTCTGTTGACTTTACTGTCAACTATTGTATCTCCTACCATCTGTGCCCCCATTCGGACCGCCTGAGCCGAGTGGCCTTTTCCCTGAAGCAGATGAGCTGTGCCACTGCGATGGCAGCATCTGCTTTGTTCTCTGCAGGAGTCATTATGTTGCCTGCTACAGTTCTGGCCTATAGAAAGTTGGGGATATTTATAATGATGATCAAGTGTATCAGCTGTGGATTTGCCAGCTTCTTCTTCCAGTCACTGTGCTGCTTCTTTGGCCCAGAGAAGAACTGCGGGCAGATTCTTTGGCCTTGTGCCCACACAATGAAAGATTATTCTGATGACTCTGAGCCAAATGGAACCTATGCCTGTGGGGGAAATGAGAAGCAAAACCGATTGCGGAAGGTCCAGGAGTCCAACACTGCAAATGAGCAATATGAGCTCCAGCCTTTGTCCAGAAAACTGAGTGACAGTTTTGACAACAGCACATCCACAAGCAAGCTGTCCAACAGGCCATCGGTGCCCTCCGAAGACATGCAAGCTGAAGATAATAGGTGCCCAAGAATAGGATCACACCCTCCCCTTGAAAGAGAGAGACAGAATCTGCAAGAGAACCTTGGATGTGACCAGTCCGTCCTGTGCCAGTGTCCTGCCTTGCAAACTTCCTCTCCTTACAAGCACAGCAGCTCAGGAGCAGAAATTCACAGGGAGAGATTATGCAGAGATTGTCAGTGTCGAAAATACAGCCCAAAAGCTTGGGATAGTTCTGGGCTGGACTATACTCAGCCAGCTGGTGTGAATGAAGAAGGGCAGCTCAATAAATCACAGTGCTCCACTGACACTGCCCAGCAGCAGTCAGATTATACCTCAGACAACAGCCATCTTCCTGCTGCTGACATCTACAAAATTCACAGATGCCTTTGTTCTCTTGGCAGCTCTTTTGACATGCTCAACATCTCCAGTGAGACATCGATTAGTGATTTTGAGCAAGGCCTAAAGCTTGCTGAATCAGCCAGTTCTTGTCCTGATGTCTTAGAGCTCTCTGATTCATACAGTCAAACAGAGAGAGGCTACTTGAATGGGAAGAGAGATACACTGCGTCTAGACCTGAGGGAGACTGTCTTTGATATCTCTCCAGCAGCATCACAGCAAAACAGCTCTTCATGGAAAAATCGATTTGGATTAGGGAGTGAAGGGCCCGTTGTGTTACCTAACAGCCAACCAGACATGCCTGATGTTTGGATCAAGCGATCTAGCGCTCAAAGTTCTGGATACAACAGTTGAAATCTTGCAGAGAACAAAACTGTACTGCTAGGGAAAGGGGAAGTCGAAATCTCCTCAGAACTGTAAATATCAATTTTTTCCTCCCACCTCTCTTTGGGCTGAAACTATTTCATAGTATTTCAGCTGTGCAAGTACCTGTGCTTTCACAGAACCAGCAAATCTGATATTGCTAGATCAGTCATGGTGGAGTATGAAGCCCTTCGACTTTCCAGTGTCCTGTGCCACATTCTGTGTGGCACATTCCACAGCTGTACTGTGGAATGTATCGAGTAAACCTGTTTTGTCGTTTCCTAAATGGTGATTAGATTTTTTCTTGTTAAACTCACATAGGAGGGAAATAATGAGAAGAATTTCCCCAGATATTTAGGGACAGAGAGTTCATGTCAAAAACAAACAAACAAACAAACAAACAAAACAAAACAAAACAAAAAAAGAGCCAAAAACCAAAATCACAGCTATGGATTTCAAGTGGAAAGCATAATGTTAAAAAAAAAAAAAAAAAGGTCTTTCATTTTCTACTGAGTATGTGAATTCACGTTCATCCATCTCTACAAAACACTTCAGATACTATTTTAAGACTCTCACTAGGACTTTTCAGTTGGCATGTTCTCTTATTGATCAGGGAGGAGGCTGTAGACCTATTCTCATCCCCACCCTGTTTTTGGTGGCAGTTTCAGCTTGTTTTCTCAGCATCACTACTGATACTGACAAAGATCTATGGTGGAAGATCTCCTCCTTGAGAAGTGCCCTCATCCCTTCGGAGGTGTTCTGTCTCCACAGCCGTTTCCACACAAGGCTACAAACACACAACTTTTTAAAATTTGCATATGATTTTACAAAAAAAAATTTTCCCTATCAGGAACAAGCAGAAAAGCAAGTACTTTCCTCACCTTTCTCAAAAACAAATTCTCCCTACAAGTTGATGTAAAATAAACGCTTACGACAAACTTTTACTATATTTGCGTGATGCTTCATTTTTGCCAAATATGCCGTGGTTGAAGGTGGTAATAAGGCACTTAATGCCATTTTGCAGCGTGTCAGCAGAAGGAAAACACAGACTTGACAGATTCTCTCCCTTGGATTCCCCGCAGACTTGCCAGCTTTGTGGGAGAGGGGCTGCCTCACGTAGACAAGGAATACCCATATAAACTTAATGACCCTTCTTGAGACGGGTCGTGTGTTTCAGTGTTTCTGCACCATGCTGGGAGCTGAGGTGGGTGTTTTGGCAGCCAGAGCTGACTGAACCGTCTCCACACAACACAACGAGAACACTGAAGGGAGGCAGAAGGCGCTTTGCTGAGGTGCCTCTTTCCCCGGGGGTTTTAGCCGCCTCAAGGGCAAACCGAGGGGAGAGCGAGGAGGGCTCCGCTCGCCGAGCACACACACAACTCGGAGCGAGGCACCTCTGCTCCCCGAAAGGAAGCTGCAAGGGTTAAACACCGACAACATCCTCCCCGGTAACAACCACCTCCCCCCCGTAAAGCGTACGGCGCCGCACTGCGCATGCGCGCTGCTCACGGGCGTTGCGCCTCCGCGCATGCGCAAGCCCGCCCAATCGTTGGGCGCCGGCCGCGATTCAAACTGCTGCTGTGAGGAAAGGGCGGGTGGTATCATGGATGTGGAGTCTTCCCGCATTCCTGTCTATGGAGCGTTCCATCGCGGCCCTGTAGGTACGTACTGCCACCTTACTGCGTATTTTCCTGAGGTACAGAGGTCCCTGCTGCGGGGTTGGGGTAGCTGGGGGCTTCCTGGTGAGGTTTCACTTTGCTGAGCGTGTGGTTGTGACGATGAGCTCTCGTGGGCTCCGGTGTTCTCGTGGTTGTCTTTCTCTTGCAGAAACGCAGCTACCCTTTTCTTCAAAGAAGCAATGTGCCGGTAAAGCAGTAGGGCTCGAGCTCAACAAAGATCCCGATTTCAATTTTGGTTCCAATGTTCTAGCGGACGGTGTGTTCAGAGCAACAAACCAAGGGTAAATTAAAGAACAGCTGGGTGTGTTGTTTGATAAATGTCCCAAAGAAAGCTCTTGCAGGGATAGTGACTCCACTGTCTCCCTGGTTAGCTTGTTCCCAAGCCTGGCCGCACTTTCCATGAAGAAATTTTTCCTGGTACCCCTTCTAAACTTCTCTTGGTGCAACTTGAGGCCATTTCATCACATCCTATCTGAGAAGAGAGACTGAACCTCATCACATAGTTGTAGAGAGTAATAAGATCCAACCTCCAGGCTAAACCCCAGCTTCTTCAGCTGCTGCTCAAATGTCTTGTCCTGTACTCGTTTAGTCAGCCTTCTTGTTCTTAATCATAGAATCACAGAATGGCCTGGGTTGGAAGGGACCTCAAGGATCATGAATCTCCAACCCCCCTACCACATGCAGGGCCCCCAACCTCTGCATTTAATACTAGACCAGGCTGCCCAGAGCCCCATCCAATCTGGCCTTGGAAACCTCCAGAGGTGGGGCATCCGCAACCTCTCTGGGCAGCCTGTTCCAGCCCCTCACCGCTGTCATAGTAAAGAACTTAAATCTTCACTCCTTCAACTTAAAACCATTTCCCCTTGTCCTGCTGTTACTTGTTCTTCTCTGAACGTGTTCTGGTAACTCAGTGTCTTTCTTGTAATGAGGCACCCAACACTTAACACAGCATTCAACATGCATTCTCACCAATTTGGAATGCAGAAGGACAAAGAGCGGTTTTGTCAGATATACATGATCTGTAAGTATGAAAAGATCATTGTGTAACTGTGTTCTACTTGTTGCTTAAGGATTACTAAATCTGCCAAGAAAGCGGAGCCACCTTTGAAGAAGGCAGTTACAAGAGGGTATGTTTTTTCACATTGTTAATAGCTGTCCCTATGCAGTTATGTTCCTTCTCAGAGAGTTCTGATGAGCCCTAAGCTTACAAAGGTTTGCTTTGCTAATGGCCTTTTGTCCAGGAACATGAGCAAATCTTTCAAAGAAGGACATCTTTATGAAAGTAAAAGGTGCGTGATACCAGTGTTCTTTCACTTATATCTTTAATGTTTGATTCTACAGACCTCTGAGCAGGTACAAACTAGAGACAGAGCTGAAGGCCAAGAATCAGCTATTGGAATCAGCCAAACAGCAATTGCACTCCAGGTTAACAGGAGCTCAGGTAGGAACAAGAGGTGGAAATCATTGAGTAATTCTTACATTCTGCTCCTTGCAGGGTTAGATCAAAGGGCTCACTTGCTCGTTTTCCAGTCTCCCTTGGAAGGCAGTAGACTGAGTGGTCTGGGTTTTCTCTTGCAACACTGAAGGTATTTGGCTAGAACTTGGCAGTCAGCAGTGCTATGGATGTATTTGGCTAGATAATGCATCTGGATCACTATTGATAGCCACCAAAACTCTAATCCTGTCTTAAGCTCGTTGCCAGAGAATGTTTCCACTTCACAAGTGAACATGTATGTGAAATTTTAAGAAAAGAGCCTCAGTATTGCCAGATGTTTACGATGTTAACAGAAACAAGTGATAATCATACTCAATAGTGATTTGAAGTCTATTAAATCTATTTCAAACTCAGAGCCAAATATGTTTCTATTTGATTTCTTGATGATTCTGCTAATTCCATCACATAATATGGTATGGAACTGCAAGCAGTGTTGAATGTATGGTCACATTTTAGTAACTAAGGATGCTTGTTCTGGTCACTGCTTTGCTATAAAATTTGAGGGATAGTGGCCTTGTTTTCTTTAGAGTATTTTTAACTGAGAGCTCTGTATGTATGATTTTAAGCTTCCTGATGTACTATTGTTTTTTAATATCTTGATGGATTTCTGCAAGCTTTTTTCCTGTCTTATCACTGGTGAGGAGGTGGAGGCCACACGTGGAGTATTGTACCTGGGAGTGTGGACATGGATACAGGAGAGACAAGGGCGTGTTAGGAAGAATCCAAAAAGGGGCCACTAAAATATTTGAGGAAGTAGAGCCTCTCTCCTGTGAGGAAACACTGAGAGCTGGGACAGCTGAGCCTAGAGAAAAGAAGTCTGGGGGCAATTTTGTCAATGTATATTGATATGTGGAGGGAGGGTGTTCAGTGGGGCAATGGACACAAACTGACACAGAAGCTTCAATCTGAACAACTCGCCTGAGCAAGGTCACTTCCAGAAGTGCTTTACCAACTCAGTGATTCTGTGAAATCCATCAAGCCGAGATTCTCCTTTCTTAACCTAAGTTTAGATTCAAAGTCTGCGCTACGTTACTCATCATCTCTCAGTGATCAGAGCATAATGTAATTGCTATCCTATATAAGAGGCCCAATGTGTAACCTTCAGTTGTAAAAGTTCATTTTATTTCCTAGTTCTCAACTGGTTACTAATCTGTGAGATGATCTTTCCTTTTATCTCGTAGCTTAAGTTCTTGGTAAGCCTTTGAGGCCTCCTTTGGGATGTTCAAAAAGCTTATGGCTATTATCAGCTGGATCACCCTAATCCACGTGCTTATTGATTCTCTCAGAAAATTGCATTCAACTTGGGAGGTTGATCAGCTTATCCAATTGCCTGCTAAAATCCAAACTGTGCAGGGAATAATGCTGTGGCCTAAAGATTCTCAGATGCCTCTTTATTCCTGACATTAGATGCTCCTCTGTGCATAACTTTTAAAATACTACAGAGAGAAAGCAAGAAATCACGAGCTAGAACTGTCTCAGGAATCTATCTCTAGGAATGGGATTTCCTAGCAATTACTGTGACATTCACATGTGATAGATCCTGTCAAAAAGCAGGAATAAGGGTCTCTTTCTCTGGTGAGTAAAGGATAGAAAGGCAAGATGTGATTCGTGGTGTTAGAGGAGAACCTGTTAAGAACTCGGTATTACTGACTAATGGGGAGAAATTTGGTTCACTTAAAATGTCACTGTGTTAATGACAGGGCACTATAAAGGAGTTAAAAGAAGAGAATGAAGGCCTGGTGCAAGAAATTGAAAAGCTCAAGAAATTTCAGGAAACTTGCATGGTGGTTTTAGAAAGCAGAAACATTGACCCTGGTAAGGATTATGCATTTCATGTTTATTTGTTGTACAGAGCACCACTTCCTTTTTTCTTTTCTCTCTCGCTGCATCTGTCTGTAAGACATTGGCTTCTGCCTCTTTATTAAAAAAGCACTGTGATAGCGTGGGATTTCTTTTTGCTAGTTTAAGAGGAAAAGCTGCTTCTTGTGGTTGGCTCTGTCCTAGATAAACTTTGAGAATAACTTTCTTGCTGTAGAAAGTTACCTTTGGGAAGCTGTTAGGTCTTAGAGCACTGTATGTTGTGTCTCATCAATCAGTTACAGGCAGCAATATTTTGGAGGAAGAAGAAAAAATACAGGAATGCCAGAAGCAGACAACGGTAAGAGAATTTTTAAATGGGCTTTGGTGAGGGGTGTGCTACTGCCCTTTTGTGCCTCTGTTGTAATAAGAGCTGCTGAGATGTGTTCATCTGCAGTGTGTTATTATTTCTTTTGTCTCTTCAGCTTTTAACTGAGAAACTCATAGCAGAATTGAGGCTATTTAATGAAACAGCTGAAAAAGAAAAGGAGGCACTTCAGGTAAGACTGTGAGACTTGTTTCAGATTCAGCCAGGCAGTGAGCATTTGGTCTGGGGCTTGTTTTCCACCTCCCCATGTTACTCTGGCCTCCAAACAAACCAGACAGTGAATGCCTGTATCCTTAATCAATGTAAAACTTGACCTGACCTGAAATCTTTCTGGGAACTAAGAAGTATGCAAACACAAGCAGCTTTTGTATTACTGTCTTGTCTATATACTGACCAAAGTAGTCATTAAATTACAGTTCTGCAATTCTCGGTATGAAGTTTAAGCTAATCAACAAAATTGCTATTATACATGGCTTCCTCAACTTCTGGTCATGGAAGATTGCCATTTTTCTCAAGGAACCCAGGCAAGCTAGGCCAGCCTTAGTTTAGCAGCTATGACAGTGCTGAGGAGTTCCAATGTCTGAAGGCTTTTGTTGCTTGTTCTGGTTTGAGCTGCCTTTCGGAAGTCAGCTTTGCTAATCTGTACATTCACATTAGTGAAATGTTGTGTACACTGTGCCACACAGACAGCAATGGCCAAGTGGGAATCAGCAGAAGAAGAGAGACAGCGTTCCCTGGAGAAGCATTCCTCCTTTCAGGAAGAGATGAAGGAATGCGCAGCAATCCTCGATCAGCTGGAGCAGCTCTTGGCTCAGTGAGGCACAAGGATGAACTGCACAGTCTCTATTTTGCAAACTTTGTTCTTATGTCTAAAACAAGAAGGTGGGCGGGCTGGCCCTGGGTGCAGGTAACACCTGCAGGATGGTAATGGGGCAAGGTGAGCAGCAACTGCTGGCTGCACAAGAGCCAAATGTTCACAGCTATTTAATTGCCTGCTGGGGCTTAGCCTGGATTTCCTTACTGCATACCTTGCCAACGGCTCATCTGCCTCAATCCACTAGCGTTTCATTTCCTTGTATTAAGTATTTTTGATTAAACGCATTAGAAATACGAGCACCTTCGCTGTTATACCCTCAGGCAGCGCAGCGCAGGAGCCCCGCCGTCCTGCCGCTGCCCTCTGCCGCCCCTCCTGCCCCTCGCGGCACGCTGGGCGGGCCGGGGCTCTCCCCGGGACAGGGCCGCGCCTGCGCGCCGGGACCGGACCGGGGCAGCTATGGCGGCGGCGGTGCTCGGCAGAGCCGCTCTCTGCTCGGCGCTGCGCGAAGCCAGGCAACGTCAAGCTTTGCTGCGGCGGGGCTGCGCGGGGCTGGTGGTGGACGATACGGTGAACGGGCTGAGCCACGAGCAGCGGCAGGTAGGCGCTGTCCCGGCTGCGCGCCCTCCGCTGTCCGTGGGCCAGACGCGGCGCGGCACTGTGCCTTCCAGGGGAGGAGGGGATGTGTGTCAGCTCTGGAGGGCGCTGATTGGCTGAGAGTGGCGAGCAGCTGGCCAATCCGCGGGGGTGCTCTGCTGACACGTGTCCGCCGTGCCCCGCGGGGCGGCTGTCCGGGAGCTGTGTGAGGTGGGTGGCGCAGCCCGTAGGCTGCGTTTTTAGGCGGACGAGTCTGCTGCACTCAGATTGCGCTTCTGATCAAATCAGCTCAATGATCAAAGACATTGGATCCTCCAGCGCTCTCATTGGCTCTGTTGGCCGATGGGGGACCTAAAACTTCAGATGTTACTTTCTAGCTTTACAGCCTTGCATTCGCATAAGCATAGTATGCTGAATGTGTGCAAGGCCTTTGTCCCACACCACATCCTTGCCTCTAAATTGGAGTAACATGAATCCAAAGAGTGGGCTATTTGGTGGATAAAGAATAGGTTGAAAGGTCACAGCCGGAGGGTTGTGGTCAATGACTCTGTGTCCAGGTGGAGGATGGTGATGAGTGGTAACCCCCAGTGATTTCTCCTGGGGCTGGTGCTCTTTAACATCTTTATCAATGACATACATGATGAGATCAAGTACACCTTCAGCAAGTTTGTGGATGACACCAAGCTGCCTGGTGCAGTTGATATAACAGAAGGAAAGGATGCCATCCAGTGTCTTCCAATACTTAAAGAAAAGTCGTAAACAAGAGGGAAGTAATCCTTTTATTCAGGTAGATAGTGAAGGGACAAGAGGGAAGGGCTTTAAGAAAGGAAAGATTTGGATTAGGTGTCAGTGGGAAGTTTTTCACTCAGAGTGGTGAGGTACTGGAATGGGCTGCCCAAAGAAGCTGTGAATGTCCCATCCCTGGAGGTGTTCAAGGCCAGGTTGGATGGGGTCCTGGGCAACCTGCTCCAGTGCCTGATATGGTGGCTGGCAGCCCTGCTTGTGGCAGCAGGTTTGGAACTTGATGATCTTTTGAGTTTCCTTCCAACCCAAACCATTCTATATTCTGCTATTCTCACTTGCCCCAAGGTAGTGGCAGTATCTTGAAAGGGTTAGTCCAGACCAATGAAACTTTCCTCTGTGCTTCTCAGGCTGGGCTGAAAGGGAACTCAAAGCCTCCCCAGCCCTCGCTGCCCTGCTGCGGGTGGATTGCCACACAGCAGATCAGGTTGCCCATGGCCCCATGCAGCCTGCTGTTGGTTACTGCCAGGTATGGAGCACTCACAGCTTCTCTGGGCAGAGAAGTGTAGAGGAATGTGGTATTGCAATAATACTACCACTTGTTTATACCTGATTGGTTTTTGTGATCTATATCTTTATCGGCTTGATGTTTCAGTGTGTTCAGCAGGTATAAAAAGGTGAAAGTCTTGTAACTTCTGTGTCTCTTACAGAAAAGCTTGGCAAAGACCATAAATAGATCTTTGGTAATGTTGGTTAATCTATGCATTAAAAGCACTTGACACTGTTAAATAAGCTGTTTTAAAGTTTTTGAGATGCCTGTCAGAATACATCCTCCAGTCTCTGATGATTAAAGTATATTTTGGATGTGTTTAAACTCTCTGACCAGGTTTTATGGTCAAGTTTACTGCTGTCAATTCTGTCGTGATGGAAACATTAAGGTCTAAAAAAAGGAGAAAAAAAAAAAAAAAAAAAAAAAGTCTACCAGAGAGGGATAAACTTGTTTGGTGGCACTGGAATCCAGGATCTGGGTAGCCATGGCAACTAACATATCTTTTTAATTTGAAACAAGGGAGAAAGGCAGAGCAGACGAGGCAGATTTTGCTTTGCTGCATCTGTCCCTTCTCAGTGTTTTGGTTAAACAGCAGAAGGTTCCTTCACTGACATTAATGTAAGGGAATAAAGAACCAAGAGTTAAAACTGGATTTCTAAGCTCTACTATGATGTCTTTTACTTTTTTAAAAAAGTCTTCTTATTATAAACACTTAAGATATTGATTATGTTTATTTGGAATACGTACGGACTGCTGCAAAGCGCGTGTAAGTAAATTAATCTTAAAATTTGGGAGAATACTCTGAATTGATTTTATTTCAACACTTTAGAACAAGTAGCATACCTGATTCAATGACATTTTTCTTCTATAGAAGATATCAGGATAGATCATACAGTCCCAGCCTGATAAGCCACACTTGTTATTTAACACGTGTTCTTACTGCAGACATGCTCATAAAATTAAATGAAATGCTGAGCAAGTACTCAAGGAGGATAATGAATCATAAGCTCTGCTTGTCAACTTTGAAAGTTTCCTAAAACTTCCCCGGGAGCCCCAGTGCAGGCAGGCAGTAGTTCAGTAGCATGTGTCTCTCTCATGTGTCATTTTTGGTTGGATGTCAAGGGGAACTTCAGTTCCTTCTTGAGAACTTAAGAGAAGGACTTCTGTCAAATCCACTCTTCAAAAAGCTCAGGGCCTTTTGTATTACATTTCAGCTAATAACCTGAAATAGAGATTTCTCTATGATTTTGTGTTTGTGGGTTTGAGATCATAGAATTACCCAGTGGTAGCTGCTGGGAGTATCCCAGGGAAGAAGATGATGATATATCGATGGAGTGTAACAAGTGCATTTCTCCTCACTTCTTTTCTCAGCTTAGGCAGACCATGACAAAGTTCTGTCAAGAGCATTTGGCTCCAAAGGCCCAACAAATTGACCAGGAGAATGAATTCAAAGGCATGCGGGTAAGTATTTGATGTGTGCCTATGAAATAGATGGTAGTCTGTACTTTGATCTATATGTAAGTTCAGACAAAGACCCGGTATGCACCACAGGAAGACATGCATCAACTTTTCAGACTTGAAAGCAGCAGAGAAAAAAAAAGGTTTTTGATTTCCTGTTTCTTCTTTTGGTAACTTTGAACAACCTGGGGAAGAACTGAGCCAGCATCTGATTTAAAAAAAAAAAAAAAAAAAAAAAAAAAAAAAAAGAGGTGGATTGATCATGGTCTTGTTTAGATTTTCATTGTGGCATTTGTGTCTGGCTGTCTTCAAAGACTCCTCCTCTGATGTGTGCTTTTCACTCTCCCTGCTAGGGCTCACTTTGTGCACAACTCTTTCTTATATATCTGAGTCTCCTCTCCATTTTGCTTTGGAAGTGTTGTGTGCGAATGCAGGAAACGTAGAGCTGTTTGACTTAAGCTGGAAGTTTTCTTCCTAACAGAAGCAACAAACTGTGTGCAATAGGGAGATTTGATTGATGAAAATGAGAGCTCTCACTATTGGTTTTCATAAGCTCCACAAGACTTAAGACACTCATAACATCTGCTAGGATCTCTCAGAGCTCTGATGTTGATATTTTCAGGGATATATGTGTAGCTTTGAAGTTAACTATATGGGTTTAGTCTGGCGCACCAGATGTCATCCAGTGCTATTGAATAATACCTTTTGAAGTGTCTTGGGGCTATTCATAGATAACAAGCATTTACCTGAACGTCCATTGTACAATGGAGGAGAGCCCACAGTCTGAAGAGACAGCAGAAGTGGCCCTTGGTGGTTTTGTCCTTACTGCATTTATTCACAGCTTCCCTTTTCTTCTGTGATGCTTTGTGCTAGGCACAGCTGATGTGTGTGTTGTGTGTCAGCTGCCGATTCTGTGACTTGCAGAATCATCTAGGCTGGAAAAGGACTTCAGGATCACCCTGAAGTCCAACTGTCAACCTGACCCACCAAAGCCACATTACTGAGTCATGTCCCTTAGTATCACATCCACACATTTCTTACAGTCTTTAGGGATGGGGATTCCACCAGTTCCCTGAGCAGCCCTCCGTTGCTTTACCACTCTGTCCGTGAATGATTTTTCTTCTAATATCCAGTCTGAACCTCCTGTGGCGTGACTTCAGATTGTTGGTCAGTGGAAGCAACTTCTAGTTTTGTTAGCATAAAAATACTGAAACTGATGAATTCAGAGAGTCAAAGAATGGTTTGGGTTGGAAGGAGCCTAAACCGTTCCACGATTCTAGTAGAATTTATTTATCTTCAATTGTTCTCATTTGAAAGCATATCGGAAAGTATTTTATTTCTGTCCTACAATAAAAAGGGCAATGGAGAATAGTTCTTGCTGTGCTGACAGCAGTGTCGTTGCTACCAGGGGTGCTTGAGAGATGGGAAGTTGTCTTGGTCTTAAAGAGGGAGCTAAAAGAAAGAAGGGGACAGACTCTTTAGAGGGGTCTGTTTTGATAGAACAAGGGGAAGCAGTTTCAAACTAAAGGAGGGGAGATCTATACTGGATATTAAAAAATGTTTTTTATGATAAAGATAGTGAGGCACTTGCACAGGTTGTCCAGAGACAGGTTGTCCAGACTCCCATTTTTGGAGACATGCAAGGTCAGGCTGGATGGTGCTCTGAGCACCTAATGGAGCTGTAGGTGACCCTATTCATTGCAGGGGTGTTAGACTGGATGGCCTTTGAAGGTCTCTTCCAGTGTTAACAATTCTGTGTTCAGAACAGTTCAGATCATGTGGCTGCAGAGCAGCAGTTGCTTATGCAGTGGTCTTGTCAGGAGGAGAAATCTAGGAAATG